AACACCGCCGCCCCGGCAGCAGGGGAACGGCTGGAGCGGGACAGATCGAGCCTTGGCTCCAGGAGCTGGCTGGGCTGCCAAAGCAAACAGCACCCTCCCTGCAAGCCCCGGCCTTTCCGCCCCCCTGGGACACACCAAATCCGTCTCAGTGCCGAGCGGGAGAAGAGACAAAATTGCCTCCCGGACCCCAGGATGTGCTTACTCACGCAGACTAAATCTTGCGCTGTCGCTGCCAGGAGGGAGCTGACCTGGGAAGAGACCGGGGGGGTTATTCGCAGCAGCATCCCCAGCCCAGCCCCTGCAGCCTGCCCGCACCACGGCAGCACTGCCCCAGCATTGCCCACGGCATCGCCTCTCGCCACCCTGCATGCCGCCGCGGCTCTGCATCACTGCAGGGGAAGCACAGCAGGTACCAGCTCTCAGATGACACACACGCATTCCAGCACAACCTCTTATCAAACCCAGGCTCCCCCACTAAATTGCAATCACACCTCCTCACCTAATGCACCCAACACCTTCCACTTTCACCCAAGCTCCTGTTAATCGAAGCGTCCCCTCTGTTCCCAAAGATGCTGGCTGACGGGCTCACACAGAAAAGCCCTCACTCCCTTCGCTGTGAGCACACACGGACAGACGGCAGCCTCAGGGGCTGCAGAGGGACCACAAACTTTCCTGTGAAAGTGGGGAGCACAAACGGGACCAGGGGCTGACTCCCAGACACAGCACAACGGAGGTACTGGCAGAGGAGTGCCATTCTCCACCGTCCCAGCAGGGCTGGTGGCCGGCTGCAGCCAGGACCACACATAAAACCAGGAAAGCCCTTTCCAGCCAGGCATTGTCTCAGCTCTGCTTGCAACATCACCAGCGCTGCCGAGACGCAGTGCCGGATGCGGCACAGCACAGTGCCAGGACTGCAGCCCCTGGGGGCGGAGGTGAGCAGCATCCCCAGGGATACTGCACACCCCTCCAGGACACCCATGCCCGCAGGGACAGGGATGTCCAGCAGCGCCCTGGGGTCGTGCAGCTGATGGTGCTCAGGGCAGAGGGGCACTGCTGCATGGCACAGGGAGAGGTTTTACTTTTGTGCCATACATGGTCCCAGAACACCCTCCCTGCGAGCGCTGCCGGTACATCTGCTCGCAGGCGAGTCATGGCAGGAGACCTCTGGCACAAGGCAGCATCCAGCTGCCCACTTCAAAGGCTCTTCCCAGAAAACACAGAAGTGAAAGCATTAGTCAGGCTGGGGAGGGGGGGTGAAAAAAACACAACAAAGGCAGATTTCAGGATTTAATTTGGGACTCAACAGCTCTCAGCCATGTTGTGTTTACAACAGCAGAAATCCTCCCGGAGCGCTAAACCCACACTTGCCCTTGCTTAGCCCGAGCGCCAAGGAGCCGGTGTCTGCCCAGGCACGAGCCACTCGCTAGTGCTTTGCCACAACCAGGAGAGCCGGCACCAAAAGCCCAGCGCGGGCACTGACCCTCTCACCACACCTTGCCCGCTGCCACAGGGAGCTGCCGGCACGAGAATTAGACGTAGCTGTGCGACCCGTGAACAGCGCAGACTCCTGTAAAGAGCCTGCGTGCACCAGGCGTTCCCCAGCGTCCTTGTTCCCAACACAACACTGCAGCACCAACCAGCCCTTCCTTCTCCCAGGGCACCATCCAGCAGGACCACGCCACCAGCAACCATCGGAGCAGGGAAGAGAAGGCCAGCGTGGGCACCCGCATCCCCTTCGAGGTCCTCCTCTCCTGTGGCACCAAGCCGCCTCGTGCTTCCCTCTGGATTGCTGCGACTGCAGGATGCGCAGGGCGGACACGTGAGAGCGACAGCAGTGGCTCTGGATTTGCGACTGCCCCGTCACCAACCGCAGCTCCCATCAGCACAGGGCCAGACCCCGGCACGGGGAGATGCACCCCTGGTAGACCAAGCCAGGAATTTGGCCCTGGCTACAAACGGCTCCTATCAGATGGCAGCACAGCACTGCTATCTCAGATGCAGACAGAGTCGGGAGCGCTGGAGATATAAAAATGTCTTTTTTTATTTCTGCTAATACGAAACAGGGTCTATGAAAGTGTTTGCTCACTCGGAGTGAAATTACTCTTGGCAGCAGCACCTCCAAGAGCAGCAAAGGCCCCAAAGAGCTGGTTGGGGTCCAGCCTGACAAAGCACAACTCAAAACATACCTTATCCGTGTCCCTACAGCCCCAGCTTCCAACTCCCACCCCCAGCATGGGGAAAGAGGAAACCCAGTCTCCCGGGCAAAGTGGGAGCACTGCGTCGGTGCCTCCTGAGAGCAAAGCACACTCCTTCCCCGACCCCAGCACCGGGGCTCGGGTGCCCGCTCCGCGTCCCCGGGGACCACGCAGTGCCAGAGGCTGCCGCAGGCTGGGACGCGTGAGCCCCCGCACCCCACGCACCGTGCCACCACCGCGACCGTGCCCCACGGGCACCTCCAGCCCCTCGCTCCCAGCACGCAGGAGCCCGCGACCGAGATGCCGCCTCTTCCATTCTCCTGCCTGCACAGGCAGGGGCACCTCCAGCACCTCGAGGGCAGCGAAGGGAACGTGAGAGAAGGGAAAGCTCTGTTTTTCCTTTGGCCTCTTTGCTCCTTCCTCTAGAAATCACTCAGGAGGAGGAAACCTGCCAGAAGACACATTAGGGCTGTAACAGGAGAAGGCTGCAGGCACGGAGCTGTCAGTCACGGGAAAAAATAAACAGCGCGTATTGATTGTACTGCAGTCTCCAGTGTAGCGAGAGCCGTTCAGCA